AGAGAGTTACCTTGTGCAATTTGCTCTGGGCTATTTCTATGTGAACATTTAACTACTGTTGCTGTACAAGAAATACACTTACCATTACTCGAAACTAATGAGTATTTTAAAAGTCCATTTTTTGAAAATGACTTTGTATATGGGCACCCATATATAGATAGAAGCGGTTATAAGGTTTTATTGAATAGAAATGGATTTGTTAAAAAAAATACGATTAATGATGAAAATCCATTTGATCTTCGAGTATGTAAAAGTTGTAAGTGATCATTGGATACGGGGAATACTCCGATACTTTCGCTAGCAAATATGTGGACTGGAACAACTTCACAATGTCTTCAGGGGTTAACGATACCAGAGCAACTTCTGATATCTGCTGGCTATATATGTATAAACCTTATTCAACTTACTAATCGAAAACATACATATCATAAACTAAAGGGTCATGTGATTACATTTACGCAGAACCCGGCTTCTCTTTCTATGGTCTTGCCCTTGCCTGCTTACCGGTTGTGTGATTATCTTAAAGTTATATTTGTTGGACAAGAAAAACCATCACAAGAACAATTAAGAAAAATATTACGTGTAAGAAAAAATAAAGTTGCTGCGGCTCTAGAATGGTTAATAAACCACAATATTCTATATAAAAATATTAAACTTGATAGAACAATACTTGAAACCTTACCTGAAAATGAGGTGCCGGGTGTTTTATTGGCAACAACTGTGGTAGTTAATGCTAATCCTCAAGAGATAGAACATTATACTGGATACGTAATTGATCTGATTGATCAAAATAATGTGAATGATAATTCAAGCGATGAAGATATTGAAAAAACAAATAACAAAGAAAATGCAACTGGATTATACGATTTTGTTAACAGTTCATCTGAATTGAGAAATTCAGGTATGACGTATGCTGATGATTTAATTTCTGAACAGGAACGTTCTTTAAAACTACTCGAAAAAATAATTCAAGAAACTTCTGATAATAAGCAAGACAGTGATGATACGATCTTGATGCCTCATTCGAATAAACCTAAAAATGAATACACAGACCCAACACTTTTTTCTGCTGCGTTTTCCACCTTGTTTCCTTATGGGATTGGTGGTCATGAGGACAATTTTCGCAAACAACACATACCATTCAAACAATATGCTAAACATCTGTTGCACCTTGGTGATCCCAAATTTAGGTTTCATCGCTCGTTTATTTTTGCTGCGTTTGATATATTATGACGAAGAGAAATTGCACTGGGTGCGTACTTAATAACAAAACGAGCTAATTTCGAACAATCAGCTGAATTAATCTCAAAGCTTACACTAAATGATATAAAAATTGCAATTGAACAAGAACAGAATAAGCAACCAATAATGAATAAAACAGTTTTTAAGTTATTAAAAAACATAAATATAGTTGGTGGAAAAATTACGGGCTCACATCAATCACGAAAAATTCTTCATAGTAAAATTCGTGCTGTTATAATACGGGATAGTTCACCTTCATTATTTATAACTATTAATCCTGCAGACCTTCATAGTCCAATCGTGATGATGTATGCGGGAAAGGAAATCGATATTAATAATTTGGTTTCTGAGAGTTTTCCAACTGCAAAAGAAAGAGCTAGATTAGCACACCTTGATCCGACTGCAGTAGCGAAATATTTTGATATTATGATAGAAAAAATAATCAAATATATTCTTGCTTATAAAAAACCTGAAGGTGGCATATTAGGTGAAATTAAAAATTACTATGGAGTAGTAGAATACCAAGATCGTGGAACACCTCATTGTCATATGTTAATATGGCTTCAAGGTGCTCTCAACCCTATTGAACTACGAAATCGTTTCAAATTTGAAGACTTTAGAGACCGGTTAATGGTTTATGTAAATGAAATCGTAAAAGAAGATATCAGTTATCTTTTTCCGGATGGTAATTACTTAACTGATGAAATGTTAGATGCCGAATACAAGACTCCAAAAACTAATCAAGAAAGGAAGATGCATCCATCGATTTTTCCTATTCCGAACCCATGATCTTCAGACTTTGAAGTAAAATTTTGCCTTGATATTCTTAGAATTGCAAAACGTACCCTATTTCATTATAATATATTTATTTACTATATATCTTGATTACACAACATGTTCTTATTTAAGTTTTATTAAAATGAACAATCAACCAAAATTATCAAAACTGTCTACAATTTATTAACTTCTAGAGCTAATCACTTGATTTTCTAGTATAAACTAAGTTCTTATTTACTGTGAATAAGATAATAAAATTCAAGAAAATCATTTTTATCTAAATTTTTTTAAAACCTTAAACCAAAGTATTTTAACAATTAAATTTTATAAATCTTTTTTTTAAATTACTTTTATATATCCATAAAACTAATTTAAAAAAAATTTTATTGTATTTACTAATTTTTTTTAAGTTATTGTATTCAAATCTAAAAAAAAATTATTATAAAAAATTTAATTTCTATAAACTCACCCATTTATACAAAGTTACACTAAAATTATTTGAATTATTCTTATTAAAATTTCACCTCGCTTAACAAAACGTTTGCCATATTCCTCATTAGAATCATTATAATAACCATACAACATTATCATTAAGCAATTTAATCCTAATACTTAAACTCTAAACCTACTCAAAACCAAACTACACACTACCCGCATTTAACATTACTCACTGCAACTGTTTATTATTTATTTTCATAATATACATAAATAAATATATATTTTTAACCCGACTCAATAATCTAAATTTTAATATAAAATAAGTTAAATTTATTTTGCTAAAATATTATCAACGGGAAATTTTGCAGAATTAACTGGTTTACTTGGTAAAGTTTCTAATATTATTAATATAAAATAATTAGGTTTAAATAAATATCTAATTTTTAAAATAAATATCCTTAATACCTTTAATTGCATCCGATATTCTTTGCGTATCGATAATTTTACAAATATACATAATGTCAGGATGTTTTGGTGTGACAATTGGCAATTTTTTGGTTGCTTTGTCTCCTAAGAATTGTTTTTTAATTTCATTTGCATCATCTGCTTTGCATATATTCATTCCAGTTTTCAAATTTATTTCAAACACTATCATGAACAGGCCGTCTTTCTGGATCCGAATCC